AAAAAAAAAAATAGAGTGAAGGAGAGAAAGGCTAGAGTTTAACGTGTTTGGGATTTTACTTGGGAAACTGGTGGTAAATTTGCTCACTACCCAGAACTATACACTTAAAAATGATTGAAATTGTAAATTTCGTGTTATATATATTTTATAATAACAAATAGTTGGGGGATGGGCACAATGGCTCACACCTGTCCATTGTGGACACAATGGATGACACCTGTCATCCCAGCTACTCAGGAAGCAGAGGTGGGAAGATGGTTTGAACCCAGAGTTTGAGGCTACAGTGAGCTGTAGTTGCAGCACAGCAGTCCAGTCTGGACAGCAGAGTGAGACCATGTCCCTAAAAACAATAAAATAGAAATACTTTGGATGCATTAAAGCCTCAGATGAGGACTGAGCTGGGCTCTAGGCTGTTGCTGGTCCTGTCACGTGGCCCCTCGTTAGTCATAGCTGCTTATGAGGTGAGGCGCCACCTGCCCCTGTGCCCTGACGCTGCCAGCCGTTCACAGCCCATCATGCTGCCCAGAGCCATGTTCTTGCCTCTTCAAGGTGATACACACTATGTGGTCTGCTGGAGCCCACTGTCCACACGGCCCCACTGATGCCTCCTCCTGCTTTTGGTGGGCACGTCCTTTCATCCTGAGCCCTGATTTCTAGCTTCCTGTGTCCCTGGTGGTTTCAGCTGGGGTGTGGATTTACCTTCCTGGGCACTGGGTGTTTTCATCTTTTCATTTTGCTCTGGGCCATAGACATGTCACTTGGGACCAAGTGAGACCCTTCAGGACTTGCTTTTAAGCTTTGTCATGGGACACCAGAGCCGCGTGTAAGGGTAGTTCCCCTACTGAGTCTGACCACGTCTGTCTGGTGGGCACAGGCTGGTCCCTACTGTGTGAGCGCTCTGACCTGTCCACTCTGACCCTTTTGTCACAGTTCTTTTTCTCAACCCCTGGTCTTGTCCTGTGTGCTCTGCTGAGACCCAAGGGAGCCCCTGTGTTGTTGTCGGCTGCTCTGTCCTTTCTGTCCATGTCCCTCCCTTCTGGGTCAGCCATGAGGTTCAACTCACTCATTTCCTTCTCTCAGAGTCTTTGTCCTTCCTTGCCTGATGTCTGAAGCCTTAGGGACTGAGGTCTCATATATTCCGTCTGGTTTTCAGTTGTTTCACGGTGAACCCAGTCCAGTTGCTACTGTGGTCTCAGTGTACATGAAAGCGAATTTCAGATTCCCCACCATCTTGACATAAGGTGCTTTCATTATCATTTTATAAGTATTTTCTAGTATTATTTTTTAACCCATGAGTTATATGGAAACTTTTTTTTTTTTTGAGACAGGCTCTTACTTAGGATGTCATTATGTCTCTGAGGATGGAATGCTGTGGTGCAATCCTAGGTCACAGCAGCCTCCAACTCATGGGCTCAAGTGATCCCTATGCTTCAGCCTCCCAAGTAGCTGGGACTACAGGTGCCACCACAATGCCTGACTAAGTTTTGTATTTTTGTAGAGACGGGGTCTCACTATGTTGACCAGGTTGGGCTCAATCTCCTGGCCTCAAGTCATCCTCCTGCCTTAGCCTCCCAAAGTGCTGGGATAGTAGGTGTGAGCCACTGGGACCAGTTCTCTCTTTTAAAAAATGGATCTCCAGGGCGGCACCTGTGGCTCAGTGAGTAGAGTGTAGGCCCCATATACTGAGGGTGGTGGGTTCAAAACTGTCCTAGCCAAACTGCAACAAAAAATAGCTGGGCATTGTGGTGTGCACCTGTAGTCCCAGCTACTTGGGAGGCTGAGGCAAGAGAATCACCTAAGCCCAAGAGCTAGAGGTTGCTGTGAGCTATGACGTTACGGCACTCTACTAAAGGTGACAAAGTGAGACTCTGTTTCTAAAAAAAAAAAAAAAAAATGGATCTCCAGCCTGCTTGCACTGCAGTTGGGTTGGGTAATATGATCCACGTTCCAGAGATTCTTTGAAGTTGGCTCAGGCTTTTTCTGTGGCCTAATAGTGACCTGTTTTGGTTTTTGTTTCCTATCTTGAAAGGACATGTGTAAAAGCCGTGTGCAGAGTTCCAGGTTCTCCTCCAAATCCATCCTTAGAGGCACAGACCCCGTGTCCTCACTGATTTTGTCTTCTTCACCCATCAGTTACTGACAAGGGATTAGACTCCCCACCGTGACAGTATTAGGGCTGAGACTGGAGTTGCAAGCTCAGCTTTGCTCATTCTCAGAGGATTTCCTGCCTAGCACTGATGAGTACATGGACCTGCAGGCTGTGATGGTCCAAGAACGTGTCAGTGCCATGTCTGGGGTGCTTCAGAGGCTCTCCCAGGGGATGGGAGCAGCAGCACATGCTCCAGATTAGCCTATCAGGACACCCAGTGAGGCATGAGCTCCAGAGACCCCACATAGGCACATGCTGGCTGCACAGTCACTGTAAGCTCTAAGATTCAAGCTCACATGGGTGTGTCAGCCACACTGGCTGCCCCAATCCTGTGGAAGGACCCTGCTAGCCCTGCCTCCCCAAACACCACTATTCCTGGGGCAGACCATTGACAGATGGCTTTGGAAGTTAACGTTTTACTCTGACTATTGCTCCTTCAGGCTGCACCCCCAGGAAGTGTGGCAGAGGCGTCACCGATGTCGTCATCACCAGGGAGGAAGCAGAACAGATTCGCAGGTAACTGCCCGTCTCTGAGTGCCTTGTCCCAGGGTGTTCATTGGTCACATTTAAACAAACAAAGGGGAATGTGGACCTGGGGGCAGGAAGCAGAGAATTACTGCTGAAAAAATGATTTGTTTTTTGTTTGTTTGTTTGTGTGTTTGAGACGGAGTCTCAGTATGTCACCCTTGCTAGAGTGCCGTGGTGTCACAGCTCATAGCAACCTCAAACTCTTGGGTTTAAATGATTCTCTTGCCTCAGCCTCCCAAGTAGCTGGGACTATAGGCGCCTGCCACAATGCCTGGCTATTTCTTTTGTTGTTGTTGTTGCAGTTGCATTATTTTAGTTGGCCTGGGCTCGGTTTGAACCCACCACCTCGATGTATGTGGCCAGCACCCTACCCACTGAGCTATTGGTGTCACCATGAAAAAGTAATTTGGAAGATGTCATTACAATTCCTTAAGAATTTCCTCCTGTGCTTTCAAAGGCAACAGTTAGATTTTTCCAATTTCGAGGAGGAAGGGCCACCACCCTCAGAGATGTGTTGCTGGCAGATCCTCCCCAGGCCTGGCCTCGTCTGGGGAGGGTGCTATCCCCACAGTGATCTCGGGAGCCCCACATACCCATTGTGGAAACACAGTACTCACTGAGCCATGGAATATGCCAGTGTAAGCTCAGATGCTGGTCGGGGGCATGACTTGGGCAGCCCAAGGGGCTTATAGGAGCAGCTGCACTGGGTATTTCCATGTTGAGATTTTAAAAAGAAAGCTTTGATTTTTGGACTAGATGTTTAGACTTGAAGCATGTGGACTGTCCTCTCAGCCCCATGTCTGCCCCGAGACTCCCGCAGGGAGCCTGCCCCTCTACAGGGTCCTCTGTTGTCCCCCTCCGAGCAGTTCAGCTGGCCCCAGAATGCCCCCGAGGCTGCTTCTCACACTGCACACACAGCATCTTGGTGATAAAGATGAAACACTGAGCCCTGCTATTTCTACACTGAGTCACCCACTTAATTTGGAAAGTTGAGTCCTTCAGTCTAAACATTTGTTTACCTCATCCATGTTAATAATTTATTACATTACTTTAATTATGCTGACTGGTATTTTGCCTAGATACATTATAGATAATTCCAGTAACTATGATAAATTCTGATTTTATATTATTTCCCCCCACAGCATAGCTGAGAAGGGGCTCTCCCTGGGAGGGTCTGACGGAGGGGTGAGTTGAATGTGGTTCCTACTTCTGTTTTCCTTTTACCTTTAACGTTGCTCTTACCAGCGGTTGGGAGGGGGCAGGGCCAGTGGGCAGGGCCTCAGGGGCCGTGATGTTTCCAGCACCTACCACAGCACACCCTGACACACACTCTGAGGCCCTGACACGCTCCCTTCTTGGGAAGAAAGTGTCCTTAGACATTCGTAGTGTCTCTTCATGTGGCTTCGGGTCACATGGGAGTGGCAGAGGTGGGAAATAGGAGCCAAGTGAGGAGATAGGAGGTGCCTGAGAACCCAAGCTGGAGGCTGCTACACATGCCCAGTGAGGCTTGAGGGGCTCAGCAGTGGCCTCAGAAGATGAGTCCACCCAGAATCTGTGAACACACTCTATCTAGTGAAGCCTCTTAGGATGAGATCACTCTGGATTGTCAGGGTGGGCCCTAAATCCTGTAAGCATCCTTATAAGGCAGAGGTGGGGAAGATTTGGAAGAAAAGGGACATGTGGAAATGGAGGCAGAGATTGGGATGACACAGCCACAAACCAAGGAATGCCTGGGCCCCAAGAGCTGCAAGAGGCAGGAAGCGTCCTCCGGGATCCTGTGGAGGGAGTGCAGCCCCGAGACACCTTGGCTTCGGACTTCTGACCTCTGGAGCTGTGGGAGAATAGACTTGAGTTGGTTTGAGCCCCGAGTCTGTGTGATAGCAGCCGAATCTCACCAGGTGCCGCACCGCTGTGGTTCCTCCTCTTGGCAGGTGGCCGCTGGAACCTTCATTGGTTCACTAAGGATTCAACTGGATTCAAATGTAGTTTTCTCAAGATTCTTTTCTTGCTTAGTACTGGCATTTTTTTTTTGACAAGGTCTCACTGTGTCACCCAGTTTAGAGTGTGGTGGCGTCATCACAGGTCACTGTAGCCTCACACTCCTGGGCTCAAGCAATCCTGCCTCAGCCTCCCTAGCACTATAGGCACCACGACAACACCTGGCTAATTTTTCTATTTCTAGTAGAGATGGGGGTCATGCTCTTGCTCAGGGTGGTCTCGAACTCCTGAGCTGAAGTGATCCAGCCACCTCAGCCTCCTAGAGGGCTAGGACTACAGCGAGAGCCATGGTGCCCAGCTTATATGGAATTTTTTGAAGATCTGTTCCTCTCTGGGTGATCATTTTGAATCTTCAAGGAAGATGAATTTATAGACTTTTCTAGAATTTCTAAGTATTTCAATGACTATCTGTGTAACATTCTACAAACTCTTTTCTCTTAAGTTCTGAAAAAATGAAGTTCCTTTTTTTGTTTCAGTTTGCTTTAGTATGGGGGACTATTTACCAAAAACCTCTTTTTGCATGGATTTGTCTTCTGCTCTTTCTTCAGTACCCACTTGGGAAGCTGTCCAGCACTGAATTAGCTGCTTTAATGCCTTTAAGCTCAGTTAACATTTTTTGATTCCAAATTAAGTTTGTAGCCCTGAGCTAATCATTGCAACATTGAGGAAGGGACAGTGGTAGTGGCTCCTGAGGGGTCACAGACGGAGTGAAAATGGTCTGTGCTGGTGGCCACTTCCTCCCAGATGTGGGGAAAGACTTAGACTTAGAGGCGAGTGGTCAGCGGCAGAACATTTTTCGGCAGTTCCTTACAGAGTTATGACTGGGAGCTAGAGGCTGTAGTGAGCTGTGATCATGCCACTGCACTCCAGTCCGGGTGAGAGAGCGAGACCTTGTCTCAAATAGAAGCAAAAGAGGAAAGAAATAAAAAGTTATGACCCAGCAATTCCACTGATAGTATTTACCCGAGAGAAATAAGCATACGTTGTAGATCCTTTGCAAGTATCCTCATGTAACGGACTCACCAAAATGGCCATGTCTGGTCAAGGAAACTTTGAGGGAAATTTTGAGTCGCTGGACCTTGCAGAGTTTGCTAAAAAGCAGCCATGGTGGTACACACTGTTTGGGCAGGAGTCTGGGCCTTTAGCTGAAAAGCATAGTGTGGCAACCCAGCTGTTATTTGGAGATGTTACTGGATGGTTACTGGTGTATAGGGTTCATATTCCAGAAGGTTGGAAAGTTGGTTGCAACAGCTGTGGGAGGTGGATTTTTTCTTCTTCAGCTTGCAAACCATACTGGGTATATCAAAGTTGACTGGCAGCGAGTAGAGAAGGACTTGAAGAAAGCCAAAGAACAGCTGAAGATTCATAAGAGCAACCAGATACCTACTGAGGTCAAGAGCAAAGCTGAGGAGATGGTGTAATTTGTGAAGAAGAATGTTCTAGTGACTGGGGGATGTTTCAGAGGCTTCCTGCTTGGCATGGCATCCTAAGAAGAATGACTTCACTTCCATTGTGGCTGGTTTTTCCAGCCAGCAGCCTCTACGCTCCATTGTAGGACACCAAGTCTCTCTTCTTCCTCTTCTCCCATGCCTTCTTCCCTGCCACAGCAATTCTGAATGGCTTCTCTAGGCATCTGTTGGTACAAGTTAATAAATACAGCCCTACCATGAACTTTGTGGTGGCAGAAGAGACAATAGAGACATTAGCTCTCCTCCTAGTACACTCCTCCACTTTGCCAATCTGTAGGTCAGCAAGAATGTTCCTTGTCCTTCTACACAAGATTCTTACCAGATCATGTTGCAAGATGGTTCACTACAGAGGATGAGTGGATCCTCAAAGGTTGTCTCAAACTGTTGATTTGGAAAATAAATATGCACATAGTTGATTATGTGCTGCATGGAAAGGAACTGAATACATTTGCCTTTAAGCATGAAAAAAAAAAAAGGAATAAGCATACGTCCACAGCGCTCGTAACCAGTATCCACAGAGCGCCTCTGGCACCGCCCACATGACCGTCCACAGGTGCGGGCTGGACACCTGTGGCCAAGCCACGTGGAGACACACCTTGGCAGTAAAGTGGAACGTGGAATCAAGGCACACGGCAACTTGAGTGAAGGGCACCAGACCAAGAGGGCACACCCTGCTCTTTAGAGCCCATCTCCCTAAAATTCCAGATGCCATAAACTGGTCTCTTATGACAGAGGCAGATCCCAAGGGTTAGGGATCATGGAGTACAAGGAAATTGGGGTGATGAGCATGTTATCAGCTGGATGTGATGTGGACCTGGGTGTGTGCCTGCCCCGGAGGTCCTCAGACTGAGCTAGGAACATCTGGGGTATACCTTTGCTAGTTTTACCTCCACAGAGCTGGGTAGACAAGACGGAGGGAGGTGGGGACAGTGGCTTGCCACCCCCGAGCAGACCACAGATGCACTTGAAGAAACATCAGGGCTGTCCTCAGCACATCAGGCTGGTGAGTCAGGAGGTGGTGCATGCCAGGCAGGGCTTTGAAAAAGTCGGGCCCAGGGTGTGAACAGCATGGTCTTGGTGACCATTGCCCGTGGTCGCAGCCTTGCAGTTTACTCAACTCTCTTCCAGGCTTCCATTCTGGACTTGCACTCAGGAGCCCTGTCTGTCGGAAAGCACTTTGTGAACCTGTATAGGTGAGAGGCTGGATGGCGAAAGCCCCGGCTGCGTGTGAATGCTGAGTGAGCTTGCTGTTATTTCTTAGTGGTAGACACTGAAGGGGCTGCCTTGGATAGGAGCAGCTTCAGGCCCCAGAAAGCCACAATGTCCGCCTGAGCCCCTGTGTTGGGCTCATTGCTGAGATAGAGAACTGCGAGACAGGGGTGGCACCTTGTTCAGGAAGCTTTGGGCAGGGCCTGGTGTTATGTTTCTGTGGCTTCTCAGAACCCAGGACCTGCCTCAAGGCCAAGGAAGGGAGCTGGAGGAATAGGCAGCAGAGGCAGGCAGGTGGACTCGAGGGCACAGGTCAGGCACAACCCCAGGAGCCCTGGTGCTCCGTGCAGAAGTAAAGGGATGCCCCGGCCTCGGTCAGCCCGTTTCTGCCACCTGCTGTCCCTACTTATGATACAACTGCCTCCAGAAGAGAGGGTAACTCTGAGATGACCTGGACTCCAATTTGCTGGTTAGCTTGAGGCGTGACTAAATTTAAAGGAAACAAGGAAAAGATTAATAAAATGTTGCATGTGTTAAAACTCTTTATTTTTTCCCAGATACTTTGGGGATAAAATACAAAGTATCTTCTCAGAAGAGGACTTCCAGTTATACCGGTGAGTAGTAAAGGGGACGAGAAGGACGAAGTGGACAGGGATGGGTGGGACACACCAGCTTGAGGGCTGGGACTCTCAGGTGAATTCTCATTGAACAAACTCAAGAAAGGCTGGTTTGCAAGCCAAAATGTTGTTAGGACACACGTCTAGTCACGGCAGGCTGCAGGAGGAGCTTGCTTCTTATTTAATGGGCATATAAAGTCAGCTCAGAGAAAACACATAGGACAAAACACTTCTGAGTTTTAGTTGTTTTCGTAAAGGCAATGGCTTTAAAAGTTCTGCTGGACAAGCCCATGTTGAGCTGAGGGTGAATGAGCCAGGTGTTCAGGGGACCTGGTAGTGGCCCCCATGCCCAGACACCCACCTTGGGGCATCCAGACCATCCATGTCACAGCTGCTGCTTCAGGGTACACTGGGGTCCTTGAGGTGAGGGGTCCCCTTGACCCCAACACAGATGGACAGTCCACGCCCACCATCCTCTGAGCCCCTGCATCCTCTGCACTCCCACACCCCACGTGCCGTCTGTATCCTCCATCCCACATTCCCCAGCCTGTGCCCATAGGCCCCTCCTTTCTTCCTGTGTCTGCACAGCTGCATACCTGGGGCTTGATTCACCACATTAGTGTCCACAGTGGTGGTAGATTCCTGTGCCACGCCTGCCCTAGGCACATCCTTCATCTTTCCTCCAGGGCTCTCCACTGCCCAGGACATGTGACCCAAGGGTGCTCTGCTCTGATGATCCCCTGAGTATCAGGGTTGTGGTCATGCCTTCAGGTATGCCATGTGCCTGCCTGTTCGCCTGCTGCCACCCCCAGCCTGTGACTTTCTGCAAGTGCTCAGGGACCCACACAGAATTAGTTCTGTCTCCCCTCTGGGCACAGCTACCCCCAGTATCCCACACATCTCCCCTCTGGGCACAGCTGCCTCCAGTAACCCTTGTGTCTTTTGCAGGGATGTGCGGCGGAGGGTGCAGCTCACGATTGCTGAGGCTTTTGGCATCAGCTCATCCTCACTATACCTGACGAAGCCCACGTTCTTCTCCCGCATAAATAGCACAGAAGCACAGACAGCTCACGATGAGTACTGGCATGCACACGTAGACAAGGTGAGCATGTGGACACAGTGGGTGCAGGGGATGAGGAGGGCTCAGGGGACGAAGTCTGCAGGGGACAAGGTGGGCAGAGGATGAGGAAGGCACAGGGGATGAGGAGGGCAGGGAATGAGGAGGGTGCAGGGAACAAGGTGGGCAGGGGACAAGGTAGGCACATGGGACGAGGTGGGCACAGAGGACGAGGTGGACAGGGGACAAGGTGGGTACAGAGGGTGAAGCAGGCGCCAGCTCCAAGCTGCACCCAGCAAGGGTGTGTTACTCCTCCTCCCATGGTCCATGGCTTCCTACTGGCTGCATTTTAGGGACTTGCAGCCTCTGTGTGCAATGTTTGCAATTTTAGCATTTTAGGTATTTTCCTTTCCGAGGCGTTAGGGGACATTATGAACCTAGTTAATACAGTACGAGAAGTAAAGTTTGTTCCTCATGTGATGGCAGTAAGAAAAAGTAGCTGAGTTCTCCCACAGTACAAAAAGTCGGTGGGGGGGGGGATTGTCCCCATCATGCCTCTGATTTACACCTGGCCTTGATAACTCTTTGAGTACCCCTGTGAGCAGGCAGTTCGCAGCCCTGCAGCACATCTGTGACTCTCCTGGCCCTGGGCTCCACCTGCTGCTGGAGGCCTCCTGCTGCTCTTTCCATCTTACCTTTTCTTTGCCTCCTGCCCTGATGCTGGAGCAGCTCCTGCCCTGGAGGTTTCTCCACCAGTCCAGCCAGTCACTCCTAATCAATGTTCTTTATTGTTTGTGGTTGAAACTCTCTCCCCACCCAAACTGTGGGCAGGAGAGGCAGGTATCCCTGCTGTGCCTTCCTAGCTGTCTCAGCATGGCCCCAGGTCTTGGGAGATGGGGAGGAGGCTTCCTGGAGCTGTGGCCTGAGGAATGTGTCTGCAGGTGACTGGTGACTGGTGGCCACTGAGCTTCAACTCAGCTTCATCTTCTGTCTCTAAAGCTGGAAAAGACAACGTAAAGTGAAAAATAGCCAGAAAGATTTGTAGACTGGGCTTCTTAGTCATGACCATCTCAGCTCCACTGAGGAGCAGGTCACGCCCTAGAGAGTTGGAGTTTCTGCAAGGCTGTGTGCCATAGGGACCATGGTCACCAGCAGCCTGCAGGGCTCTGGACACACAGCTGGTTTGCTGCTCTGGGCCTGCTGTGTCATATGGTCAGGAGGATGGATGTGGCCCAGTGGGGCACAGGAGATGGGAAGGGGACAGTACAAGCCCTTTGCGGTTGTTGTGGGTGGTTGGCAAGGATGTGGTTTCTAAGTGGGACATTTCTAGGGACCATGTGTGGTCTCTGAGGCCTATAGAGGAGGCCTGTGTCTCCCCCAGTTTCCCTAAGCAAGATCATAAGTATGCTTCTGAGCACAGGTCTAGCTGCATCCAAGTTTCTGTATTGGATACAGCTAGTATTACATCCAAGTATGTACTACTTTCATAATCATTCAATTAAATGTCATTAAATTAAATTAAGGTCAGGCATGGTGGCTCATACCAGTAAAAACAGCACTCTAGGAGGCTGAGGCAGGAGGATAACCAGAGCTCAGGGGTTCCAGACCATCCTGAGCAAGAATGAGACCCCATCTCTACTAAAAAAAGAAAAACCTAGCCAGGCTTTGTAGCAGGCACCTGTAGTTCCAGCTACTGGGGAGGCTGAGGCAGGAAGATTGCTTGAACCCAGGAGTTTGAGGTTGCTGTGAGCTGTGGAACCAGGGCACTCTACCCCGGGCAACAGAGAAAGATTCTATCTCTGAAAAGAAAATAATTTAATTAAACATACTTTCTATTCCCCCATTGTAATTTCTTCTTTGACTTGTGGATTGTTTATAAAGTAGATATTTACTTTAACATGTGGTGATCCTGTTACCTGTTTTGAGAGGGAGATGGATCTGCCCGCTGGCGAGTGATGTACTGGCAATCCTGCATCTCCTCAGTGCATCTGGGACAGTCAGATGGATCTGCCTGGTGGGTGGGTGGTGTGCTGGCAGTCCTGCATCACCTCAGTGCATTTAAGACAGAGTCAAACTCCAACTCACCTCTCCACCTAGGATTTGCCCCATGAATTCTTGGCACAGTCTGAAGGGCCCTTGTCTGCCTCCACCTCCTGATGCAAAGTCCTGAGGGCCAGTTGTTCCTTAGCCGTGTGTCTCTTGAGTCTTGCAGAATGGCCAGATGCCCTGAGGAAGGTGCCCAGGTGCCAGTGGTGTGGGAGGTGTTCTGCCTCAACTCCCCAGTGAGGAGCAGCTGGCAGTGACTTGGATGTGTTGTGGGAAGTCAGCAGTGCTGAGATGCCAGTGCAAGGGAGGAGGCAATTTGGGGGAAGGGCCGGCTGAGGGCCTTTGTCCTTCAGACAGTGTAGTCACAAGGCCTTGTGGCACGTGGCCTGTGTCATGTTCCCCGTGGGTGAGCAGAGGGGCTCACCCAGCCGAATGTAGCCAGCTCCCTACCCACTGAGCTATGTGGTTTGTGTTTTTCTAACTAGCAAAGATGTTTGCTTCAGGGAACCAGAACTGTGTAAGGCTTGGGCGATTTTCACGCTGTTCCTGGGGGCAGCTGTCTTGTTATGAGGTCCACCAGTGTGCTTCAGCTTACGTGTGATTGTTTTGAAGAAGCCAATGCACCCTACAGAATTTAAAAGTGAAAAACTTACAAAAAGGCAAACAGTTGTGTGTGTCTCCCACCCTTCCCAGCAGCCCCTCCCCAGCAGGTACCCTGGTGGGTGGCCCACGAGGGTGGGGAAGAGCAGGGTGGCCCAGACACGGAGTGAGTAGGGTCAGCAGTCACTGGGTGCGCTCACCATGTGTGACCCACTATAGCAGGCCCTGGAGGAGTCACCTTCATGGAGACAGAGGAACAGTGAGGGGCAGGGCGCGTTCTGTGGAGCAGCTTCAGGGGAAGAGGAGGAAGGAGGGGCTGCACAGTGATGTGGGTGTGCCTCATGCCCCTGAACTATGCTTAAAAATTGTTCAGATGGTGAATTTTATGTTGCTTTTTACCACACGTGGCTTTTAAGAATGTGTGTGATTGGGTGGCCCCTGTGGCTCACAGGAGTAGGGTGCTGGCTTCATATGTCAGAGGTGACAGGTTCAAACCCAGCCCCAGCCAAAAACTGCAAAAAAAAGAATGTGTGTGATTGTCCCACATCTGAGGAAATAAGTAAAACCACCTTACTGCTGCCCCTAGTCCCCTTGTGCTGACAGTGAAGGCTGAGGTGCCTGTGGACACTGCAGGCACCATGGTGGGAGCTAGCCCAGTGTCCTCCCTGCCCACACATGCAGCCTTTGCAGAACATTCACAGTGGTTTGGACATTATGCTGCAGGGGAAATCCTAGGAAAGACTCATAAGGTTGTGGGCTCAACCGGTTTCTCTGAGGGTGTAATGGAGTGACCCCTTCTCTGGAGATAAGGAGCACATGTGTCCGAGCCTCATGTGAGAGCCTTGCTCCTGCAGGGTGTCAGGACAGTCTGACCCACTCCTTCCTGACCTTGCCCCGCAGGTGACCTATGGCTCCTTCGACTACACCTCGCTGCTATACCTCTCCGACTACCAGGAGGACTTTGGCGGAGGGCGGTTTGTGTTCATGGAGGAGGGAGCCAACAGGACAGTGGAGCCCAGAGCAGGTAGGCAGAGTGGCTGGCAGGGCTTGGAGTGGGAGATGGTCCACAGACCACTGTGGGTGTGGGGTGGGTCCCACTCAGTGCTGCTGTGTCATGGCTAGCTTGGTGTCTGCTTGGGGATGAGGGTCTGCTGGGTCCATGGCTGGTCCTAACCCCAGGAGGCTGGTGTCTGTGGCCCATGCTGCCACTGGCCCCAGAGCCTGCCTGCCTGTGGGGTGTGTGTCACCCTAGTAGTGTGGGGGTCCAACCTGCACCCCCTTCTCAGAGGGACTCAGCCAACTAAGATTAGACAGTGCCCCCCTAAAGTCAGTATTTGGACACCCTCGTTGAACTGAGGATGATAACTATGTGCCCAGGGTGCCAGCTTTGGCACCTGTGTCCCTGGGTCTTATGGTGCCCAGTGAGCATTTGCCGAGCAAATAAATTGTCCTATCCCATAAGCCCAGGTCCTGGGAGGATTTGAGGCTAGGAGATCCCTGCTGTGGCCTTCCGAGCCTCAGCCCACGCCCTGGCCCAGGGAACCCTGGGCACAGTTCAGCATCATTTGCCTGCTGGGGTGTCTGCCTTGGTCCCACAGTGCTGCCATCACTGCTGAGTGGCCCCTGGGCACAGCATTCTCCGTGGCTGGTAGCAGCTTGGCCAGACCAGAGGGCTGTTTGCAGGTCAGGATTGAGGCCCACTGTAGGCCAGCAGCCATGGTGGTAGAGTTGACTTGGTTTCCAGCTGTACCTGCTAAGATGTAAACACGGCCAGTGGTGTGCCCCTGACACCAGCGTCCCTCTTAGCCTATTTTTGGGGGCACATTCAAAATGTAACCATGAAAAGGACAAGTATGCATTTCATTTTACAAATGTGATAAAATTCATGCATGTCCCTGAGTTCATAACGATTCATTCATCTGTGGAAATAGCTCCCGTGGGCTCTGCGCCTCCATGAGGTGTGGGCTCCTTCCCTGTGAGATGGGTCCCCACCCGTACCTTCCACCCAGCCAGCCCATGTGAGTTCACAGCTTTCTTCCCTTGGTCACCAACAAAACTGATTAGATTATGGGAAGAAGGCAATTCTGAGCCAGGGCTCCTACCCCATGGACAGCCATTCATGTGGTCATGAGACAAACCTCAGCCTAGCACAGTGGCTCCAGCCAGTGGTCTCGGCGCTTTGGGAGGCCAAGGCGGGAGGGTTGTGTGAGCCCAGGGGCTTGCAATTGCAGCAGCTGTGATGTGGCACTGTGCTCAGAAGTGGAGGTGGAGAGGTCATCTCTGGAATACATTGACATTTTCACAGGCATGATTGTCATGCCAGGAGAGAGGGGACAGCCTTCCTCAGCAAAGAGGTGAGGAGAGATCCATCATTTCCTCACACTGCAGGCAGTTGTGCAGCAGGAGGCTTGGCTGCCTGGCGCTTCTGCTCCCAAGTGGGGAAGGGCCTCCCTCTGCTCTGCACGGAACGTAGTTTGTGTAGGAGTCTTTACAAAGTCATTCTGTAGTGAGCAGAATTCTCAGGTGACTTAAGTGTGGTGACCAAGCAAGCCTGCCACAGGGGGCTAGAGGAGGCTGCAGAGATGCTTCCCTTTTGACCACGTGGCTCACAGCTGCATGTGCGTGAAGGTGCCAGCAGATGCAAGACAGGGACAGATCCCGAGGCAGGCTGAGACTTTTCCTTGCAGAGAAACTTTATGGAAAAAGATACAGAGTCCTGTGTTTACAGGTCCCTAAGACCACGCTTAGGTCCAGCAATTTACCATGGGGATTTACAGAACTCAGCAAAGTTAGTTTAAAACAGTGAAAGGAAATGGGTTAAAATCTGCCAAGTGAAGAGGCCCATGGGGTGGGGTCCAGGGCAGACCAAGCATGACTTTCCAGTTGTCACCTCCTGGAGTTGTACCGACAGCCCCAATTCTCCCACGTGGCATTGTGTGACATAGACATGCAGCAGCGTGTGACACTGGCAGGGACCACCCATGTAGGTGATACAGTCTGCAGCTTCTCTGGGGCTAGAACTGATACCATGTGGCTGAGATCCCATCACATCTCACTGTTGGTGTGGACCATCTGATGCTTTTGTCTGGCAGGACCTACCAAGGCTCACAGGTCACTCCTAGGAGCTGGGGCACTGGGGCCTTTCTTTAGAGCACTCAAAGTGGCCAGCCCAGGCCTGCTGAGTCACTCCTCCCCAGCACAGGCCTTGCCCTGTGTCCCAGTGCAGCTCTGTGTAGCCTATTGACATCTCGTGGGTTCTAAAATGTAGTGACTAAGTGCCAGGGGACCTTCTGGTGCTCAGGCTGGAGTCATATGTCACTTGGGGACTCTTGCTGCCCATGAGAAGAAAGATGTGCAAGATTAAGAAAATGGGGATTATTTCACACCTGTGGCTCCTCAGCTGCTGCCCTACACCCTACAGTGAGGGTAAGGACAACTGTCCTTTACTGAAGACAGTAAAAAGCCAAAAAGCTCATGTTCTTGAGTTCTGAATATTTCAGTTTGCAGAGCCAGGTGAGGGTGTTGTCCCAGGCACCTGGGCACCCTCAGCACAAATGCCCCTAGTCTAGTGTGCTGGTGGTAGCCTTGCCGGGCAAGTGACCTGGGCTCACCACCACATGGGCAGATGACAACACCCTTCCGACTGCTGATAACACAGTTCCAGTGGCCAATGTCTTGCCCTTCAGTTCCGCCAGGGCACTTCTGTAGCATCAACCCTCACTTTAGTTACTGTGGACGTCTTGGCCATCAGAGCTGGTGGAAAGCTTACTTGCTGGTTCATTAAATGTAAAAGAAGCCTGGGTTAGCCTTTTATCTAAGAGTTATCACCTGTGACATTAACTTGTGCCCAGCAGAGCCGCACTCTCTATAGGCCCCCAGAGAGCCCAGCCTGCAGAGTCGGGCAGGGTGCTCAGTGGCCACAGCGTGTCAGGTAGGAGAGGCTATGTCCCAGCAAAACGAGCCTCCTGCCTTTCGCTCATAGTCCCACAGGCACTTGAGACCCCATGGCTTTGGGGACACAGCAAGGTGTCTTCTTTCTCTGCACAGACATCAGCATTTGGCCCTGTAGGGAGGCTCAGCAAGGTCCATCCCACAGATGAAGGGACAGAAAGTTGGCTTTGCTTGAAGTCGAGATACAGTTGGAAGACAATGCTAGCTTTTCTGAACTCTGAAACCTCCTCCTTTCTCCCTCTGCTGCCCCTCTGGGTCACCAGTCATGGTGTTTGTCCAGAAAGTTGTAGTCTCCCTCTACCACAGTTGAGCCCTTTGGATTCACTCTTACCCTGCCCTGGCCTCTGCCCCACAGCTCCTCTGTTAGGCAGACAAAGCTGCCCCAGATATTTGCAGCCACGTATTTGGACGCTAGTTTTCACTCCTCTTGCTTAGATCTACATGAGAGGATTGCCAGGTTCTGAGACAGGGCTATGCTTGCCCTGGTAAGTGGTGCCAACCTGTAGCTATTACCGCACATCTTCCTCAGTATTCAGAATCATTTGCCTTAAATTTAAACCATCCAGGTGGTACAGTAGTTGTCTGTTACTGGGTAACAAATCACTCCAAAACTTAGTGGCTGAATATAGCCAACATCCTTTCCTTCCTGGTTTTTGCAGATCAGGAACCTGGACATGGCTTAGTGGTCCCTCTGCTCAGGGCCTCTCCTGCAGCTCCATGAAAGTGTTGGCCGGGCTGCAGTCACCTCAGGCCGGACGGGGTGGTCCTGCTTTCAGCTTCTGCTCTTAGTTATGGCAGGATTTGGTGACCTGCAGGCTGTTTGCTCGAGGCCTCCTGAGGTTCCTTGACACGTGGGCCTCTCCACAGGGCAGCTCATGGCACAGCCGGCCTCAAGCAGAGTGAGGGTGAGCTGGGTGGAGCCCAGCCTTTTTGTAACCTCATTTTGGGAGGGCTTCCCATCACGTCTGCTCATTGGAAGGGAGTCACTAGGCCCAGGCCATACCCCAGGGATTACGCAGGGTCATGGAGCCGTCTCAAAGACTGCCTGCTTTGGCAACATGAGGGTTCCATGTGCGTTTCTCTGCTGAGCACCTGCCCATGTGCCCATTTAACATCTGAGCATCTTCTTTTGGAAAGTATGGTCTGTGGCTAGCCTGCGTTTCAGGTGGACTGTCCTCTTGTGTACAAGCTTCTTTATACAGTCTGCACAAAAGTCCTTTGTCATGTGTGTGCTTTGTATGTATTATTTCCCAGAGTATGGCTTGCCTTTTCATTTTCTTAACTGTATCTTCTGAAGAGAAAAACACCTATGAATTTTAGTGAAGTAGAATGTACTCATTTTTTATGCTTTTGGATCCTGCCTAAGAAATCTTTGCCTACCCTAAGATTGTAGAGATTTTTCTTCTACATTTATTTCTAGAGACCTTATGGTTTTAGCTTTTATGTTTATGCCTCTGATCCATTTTGAAATGCTATGGATATCCAGTGTGAGGGGAGGGGTCAATGTTGCTATTGTGTATGAAGATCCAGTGGTTCCAACGTTATTTGTTGGAGAGACCGTCTTCCCTTGTCAGGGGATCCTGAGGCCTTTGTCAGAAATCCACAGACCATGTCTGTGGTTCCATTTCTGGACATTGATCTCTTGTGGACACCATGGCTCTGCAGGTCCCCGTTGGCTCCACACCACAGCTTAATTAAGTCTTGGAAATAGGTGGTCAGTCTTGTTCTTATTCAAAATTGTTTTAGCTGCATTTCCATATAAATTTTGCAATCAGCTCATTCATTTCTATAAAATGCCTGAAGGGACTTTGTTTTGGGTTGTGCTGAATCTACCGAGTGATCAGAATAAATGCCAAAGTATGTGATTCCCTGCTTCACAGACGTGAAACCCATGCATAATGCCATTCTGGTTATGCAGCTGACTTTGTGGTTTCATTGTCATATATTTTACTTCTAAATATGTTATAAACCCCACCTTATGGTGTGGTATTATCATTTTTTCCTTAAATGATTTATTAACTCATATGGAACTAACAAGAAGAGATACACAAGTGTTTTATATTTCCCATTTATTCGTCATTTCTTTCCTCTAGATCCAGGTTTTCAGCTGGAATCATTTCCCTCTAGCTTTTATTTTTTATTTTTTAATAATTAATTATTTTTTATTAAATCATAGCTTTGTACATTGATGCATTTATGGGGTTCAGGGTACTGCTTCGAAATACAATGTGAAATGTGCACATTGAACCAAGGAACACATACATCACAATTATACTCATTTCTTAATAGTTTTGAAATGTACCATTGCATCAGGCACATTAGGTGAGGTCCCCCCAAATACCCTCCCTTCTCCCATATCCCCTCTTCCCACCCCTCTCTCTCCTCTTCCCTTCTACTTTATGGACTATAGTTACATTTTGCCATTCGTATGGTTGTGTAGGTGGTTATATATTGATTTCATAGTAGTACTGACTACATTGGATACTTTTTTTCCCATTTTTGGGATGCTTTACTAAGCCCTTAGCTTTTAGCATTTCTTTTTCTTTCTTTCTTTCTTTCTTTCTTTCTTTCTTTCTTTTCTTTTCTTTTTTTTTTTTTTTTTGAGACAGAGTGTCACTGTGTCACTCCTCGGTAGAGTGCTGTAGTGTCACAGCTCACAGTGCAATTCTCTTGCCTCAGCATCCCAAGTGGCTGGGACTACAGGCGCTTGCCACAGCGCCCAGCTATTTTTTGTTGTTGTTGTCGTTGCAGTTGTACTCATTGTTTAGCTGGCCCAGGCCAGGTTTGAACCCGCCAGCCTTGGTGTATGTGGCCAGCACTTTAACCACTGTACTATGGGTGCTGAGCTGCTTTTAGCATTTTAGCATTTCTTTTTTTTTTTTTTTTTTGAGACAGAGCCTCAAGCCGTCCCCCTGGGTAGAGTGCCGTGGCATTACAGCTCACAGCAACCTCCAACTCCTGGGCCCAAGCAAGTCTCCTGCCTCCACCTCCCAAGTAGCTGGGACCACAGGCGCCCGCCACAACGCCTGGCCATTCCTTGGTTGCAGCCATCATTGTTGTTTGGCGGGTCCAGGCTGGGGATTCGAACCCGCCACCTTAGGTGTATGTGGCTGGTGCCTTAGCCGGTTGAGCCACAGGCGCCGAGCCCTCATTTTAGCATTTCTTGTAGCACAGGTCAGCTGGTAATGATTTTTCTGAAAAATGCTCTTATTTTATCTTTTTTAAAAAAGATATTTTCATAGCAAATCAAATTCTGGGTTCATAGAATTTTTCCTTTCAGCCCTTTAGAAATGTCATTTATGACCGGGCGCGGTGGCTCACGCCTGTAATCCTAGCACTCTGGGAGGCTGAGGCAGATGGACTTGCCCCACAGGTTCAAGACCAGCCTGAGCAAGACTGAGACCTGAGATCTAAAAATAGCCAGTGACCTGGAACATATTCTCCTGAGTAAAGTATCTCAAAAATGGAGGAAAAAGTATCCAGTGTACTCAGTACTTCTATGAAACCTACTTATATTTATTCACACTTTGTTATGAAACATAGAACATAACTATAGCCCAGGATGAAGGGCAGAAATGGAGAGGGAAGGGAAGGGAAGGGGGAGGTTTGATAGAGGGAGGGTAAAAGGCGGGACCACACCTATGGAGCATATTGCAAGGGTACAAGTCAAATCTGCCAAGTGTAGAACATAAATGTCTTAACACAATAATCAAGTAAAGGAGGTGAAAGCTATGTTGATTGGTTTGATGTAACCACGTCAGATTGTATAAAAGAAAATCAACACATTGTACCCTACATATGTATAAATGTATTCATGATCTATGTGTATTTGACTTAATTTTTTAAAAAGTTAAAAAATAAAATAAAAATAGCTAGGCATTGTGGCAGGCACCTGTAGTCCCAGCTACTTGGGAGGCTGAGGCAAGAGAATTGCTTGAGCCCAAGAGTTTCAGGTTGTTGTGAGCTGTGACACCATGACACTCTACCCAGGGACACAAAATGAAACTCTGTCTCAAAAAATAATAATAAAATAATAAAAAAAGTAAAAATGTCATTTATGTATTCTGGTATCTGTAGTTTCTGCTGGGAGGTCAGCTGTTGTGTCACCATCCCTTGTATTTGATGAGCCTTTTGTCCTTTGTCTTTCTCATCCCCTTGGCTTGACCGTGATGTGCCCACGTGTGAATTTATTTGTCTTGATCCTGCGTACAGTTTGCTTAGCTTATTGGCTGTGAAATTTCTAGTTTTTTCTCTTTATGTCCCACTCCCAATCTCACATCCCTATGAGGCTGGAGGTTCCTGGATGTGGGCAACTCCGTCCTGTCCCGCAAATCACGAGGCTTGGTCACCCTCCGTCCTCCTCCTCTCTGCTCAGTGGCGCCTCTGTAGCAGAGTTGCAGAAACCCTTATGTCACCCTGGGTAGAGTGCCATGGCATCACACCTCACAGCAACCTCAAACTCTTGGGTTTAAGATATTCTCTTGCCGGCTCGGCGCCTATAGCTCAACTGGCTAAGGCGCCAGCCACGTACACCTAAGGTGGCGGGTTCAAATCCCCAGCCCGGGCCCGCCAAACAACAATAATGACGGCTGCAACCAAAAAATAGCCAGGCGTTGTGGCGGGCACCTGTGGTCCCAGCTACTTGGGAGGCTGAGGCAGGAGACTCGCTAGAGCCCAGGAGTTGGAGGTTGCTGTGAGCTGTAATGCCACGGCACTCTAC